TATATATATATATATGCCTTTTCCTTGGGATAATGTACCTATCTTATTGCTTGGCTAATCTCACCTCCAATATGTCAGTCTCATCTCATGCAGCTCTGTCAAAAATAAGCCTTCACTCTCCATCCTGCTTGCCACCTTTTATTGGCTTCAGTTCTAAATAAGTGAAAAACAGATATGACTGTAATAAATCCTGTTTGGACAAATTGAAAAGAACTTATGTTGTTTACTTGGATACTGTCAACTAAATGGCATCAATTTACTTATCAGCTTTCATTATTCCCTTAGACTATGGAGGAAATGTGACATCTCCACTAACATCTGTTCCTAACAGTTATGTTTCAGAACATGGAATTCAGAGTGAGGAAAGCAGAAGTGAGGCATCACAGCAAACATGGGCCCACTCCTTAACCAGGCATAATTGGCTCAGCCACCTATAAATGAAGGCTATTCTGGAAAGCGTGGTGTCCCCACTTCCATATTCCTACCATCCACACTGCCACTTTTCTGACCCTGACATAAGCCAAGCTACAGGGGGGTATCCACAAAAAAAACAACCCAAACTGTAGAAAGCCAGGGAACAGCTCTGTCAGCACAGATTCCCAGGCAAGGACAGCATAGGAGCTTTTACACTCAAGCATCAAGAAAACACAGGGGCAACCTAGACGGGGCTGCCACAGGCTTGCGTTTTGTGGTAGCAAATGGCTATGAGACTGGCTGAGTCATAATATCAAACAGTACTGCTTGTATATTGGCAGGCCGAGCTAAAACTGGAAACAGTCTTAATCTTAAATGCAACGGTGCTACTGCGTGGGTAAAACCGAAGAGAAACTCCACAGCGAGGTGTTCCAGTGGACAGCAGAGGGCAGAGCTGCGCCCGCGCTGTAGGAGACTCAAGACTGGAAAGGCACCGCTGCTGTTCGCGGTTTTCCAAGCACTCGCTGACCACCCGGACTACTTAACGGCAACGGCTGCAACGCATCAGTTCTGACCCATGCCAGATACAGAGATTCCCAGACTTTCCAATTCAATCAGTTATTTCTCTCAAGAAATCAAGTGCACTTTGAGAAACACTTAACCTTCAGTCTCATACAGAAAAAGTGCAACTACTACATAGCAACCAGTTTTGCTCAAAACCAGGAATACCACCACATATCTCAAACAGCAGCACTGTTGGAGACATCCAGGCAGATTCTGTAAGAGCCATGGTAATATCTTTCCTCGTAAATATCCCTTCTATCTAATCAACATTGTGTTTGAATTTATTTTCCCTTCCCCCTCCAAAAGAGCAGCAGCCAAAACCAGAAATCAGATTTCCCTGGGAAACTCCACATACTTTATTTTACATCTGTGGATGTCTTACGTTCGTTAAAAACTGGTTGTGTACAAAACCAGCACAGAACATTAGCACACAAATTACTCAGTGTACCACACACAGATGTCCAAACTCAAGGCAGATCCTGATCTCTCTTTAACTGTTGACAGTTATGATGCACCACTGAGAAGCATTTCCCAAGACCTGGCTGCAAAATCATACGGCACAATGCAAGCAGGCTTCCACGAAGTTCACATGTTTTCTGTATCAACATTGAGTGAACAAAACAAAGAAAACATTCTTGAAAATCATGATCTTTCTTGCTGTAGTAACTGGTTTTGTTGGCATTAGTTCCTTAGCATCAATTTTGAGCGAACCAAGATGGGCGCTTCCTGGCTCTTTCAATGATCCTCTTGCCTGCATCCTTTTCTGTGGGCTTTTCTCCATCATACAGGACGACAGTCTCCACAGTTGGAGCTTTAAATGGCCCTCCTTCCTGTTTATATATTTCCTTCCGGATCAGTCGAGTTTCTGCTTTGACCTTTGCATAACAATAGCCACAAAGGACGTGTTTCTGTTTCAAGTTTCCACACTCAGGACAAACATCTATGTTCGTCTAAAAAAAAACAGTGCAAAAGAGAAAATTTTGTAATTTGAATAAGAGAAGCAGGGAACAATCACAAATGACTAAGAAAGCTAAACGAAAAATACCAGAGAAATTGCCTTTTCAAAATTTATTCTTCTATGGGAAGTATTTTTTCTCGCATGTATGGTTATTTCAAATGCTTACTACTAAAAAAGGCCTAAGAAGTCAACAGCTAAATCATTATGCCTAGTGATGTTTGGAAGACTAAAGACCTATCAACTCGGTTAGATGCACAGGAAGTATAGACCTTTTCCACTTAACACTAGCTGGTTAGCTAAAATTCACATTTTGTTGGCTTGGACCTATACAGCCATGGTGTATTTAACCACTACTGTCACACATAATGACTTATTTAAAAGTATTTTGCAGATCAGTGTCTTTTAAGCAAAAAAAGTCTTTTAACGGACTGTAGCTACAAGGAAAGGAGTAATGGGCTTAAACTTAAACAGAGAGAGTTCAGGTTAGATATAAGGCAAAAATTCTTCCCTGTGAGGGTGCTGAGGCGCTGGCACAGGGTGCCCAGAGAAGCTGTGGCTGCCCCATCCCTGGCAGTGTTCAAGGCCAGGCTGGACACAGGGGCTTGGAGCAACCTGCTCTAGTGGAAGGTGTCCCTGCCCGTGGCAGGGGGTTGGAACTGAATGAGCTTTAAGGTCCCTTCCAACACAAACCAGTCTGGGATTCTATGATTCTACTAAATAAACAAATTCCAGAACACTTTTTCAGTCAGTATCAACCACTACAATGGTTCTCTAAAACAAGTGAAATGAAAAATAACTGGCATAAATTTTACACCAGCATGCTTGTTTGCCACGAACAGAACTAACTGCAGTGAATAAAGTGGCCAGCCTGTGGAAATCTGGTGATTACCTTGATTTTTATAAGCTTATTGGGGTTTCTCCGCCTGCAGCGGTTCACTTCGATGGTGCGCCTTTTC